GGGTAGTATAATTGTGACTTGTCCACGTATATCAAAGCTGAGAATAATGCAATTGCTGTCCCAATAATACCAAGAACCTGGGGCACGCATATGTGCTTCTATTAACTGTTTTTACTATCGTGACAAATGGTTTTTTTGCTGTAAATTGTATTCTTCTTCAAAGTTGTCGGCATTGAGTAATTGGAAAAGGAGTTGTATCTAAGCCTGCACTATGCACCGACGCAGCCAGCAGAGATTGCTGCCGGTGCCTCTTCGGACAGCCACTATTTTTGTAAGAGGGCAAAACACTGTCTAGAAAAACCCGGCAGACTTTTCTCACCAGAATCCTAGTATAATTCGGTGTATGAGAACTCGCCATACGCTCGCATTTAGGTTTGTTTGGACAAAGTAAACCTGTTGGGATAACTTATAGGTATCATAATGAGCCAAAAATCTGTAAAACGCAAGGGATAGTAATGTAGAAAATATTTTTTAATGTAGCGATAGCCAATATAAATAAACACTTAGTCTATCGACAGGTGTTAAGGTTAGGAAGGTTAACCCTAACAGCTACGATCTTCCTGGCCCATGGTTCCTTTAGGTGATGAGAGAAGACGGTGGAAAAGCCAGATTGTTAGGAATAGTGTATTCTGCAGAGGGATAGGAGAATAGATGGAAATAGTTTTGACTCGGATGACCGCAGTCCGGCTGCCAGGACGTCAATTCCAGAGTGACGACTGCGTCGGGAATAGGCGGATGGGTGGCGCATGCTTTGTCACAGTAGCCAATCACGCGGCTGGTGTCTAGACTAGCGGTAGGGCGCGACCTTGGGATGGGCGAAGGCTGGCGTGCATGCGTCAGCGGCTGTTCTTGTGTTCCCAGTGGCTGCTAGAGTCCACTACAAATCTGCAGTGATTGTATCGTTAAAACTGTTGCCAAGTAAGTTGAACGAAGGTATCTACATTTTAGATATATAGATGCAACGTAAAGATAGTGTCAGTAAAGGAGCCTTTCATTAGTTAGCTCCCTTTGTTTCTGTTGACACATTTTGTTTAATGCATATACTATCTCTACGTACAAACGGATAAGCTCTCATTTTACTACCGGTCTCTTAAAGACTTATTTTGGTGATACTTACAACCTATCCCTACAACTCAACCCTTCAGTTCCGACATCCCTGATTACCTCCATGTTTGCGATTAGGCCTTTTTGGACTGTCCTCTAGCTGAAGCCAGTACCAATTACTTTTTGTTGTCTCCTGATGATATCTGCTTCCCTAATCATCGGTTCTGGTGTCCGCATGTTTGGTGGCTAATATTATTCT